GTACGCTTTTATTTCCTTAGGGTTGCAGAGAGGTAGCCATGCACCCTTTTCTGTTCCTGATTGTGGTCTCTCAGGTGACCCCACTCACGTCCACATCTATCAAAGAAGGCGCGCCGAGAAAAACGTTGGGTAAACTGGCGAAGAAGAAGCCGAAACGTCCGCAACGGCGTGTGCCTTTGGAGAAGAAGCCCAGGTAAGTGCAGTACGATTCCTGCTTATTTTTCGATTTACCTTTTTTGTTATTTTAAATCATCCGTGGCAGCACAAACGACAGATTTCCAATTATTTCGGTGTGACTTAGCATTTTTGCTCATTTTTAGGTAGTTTAGTAACGGGTCTCTTGAAAAATTAAGCACTCCCCGCTTTTCTAAGTAGGGAATTTGATCTGTGGATTGCTTTCGAAATTTCCATGTTTCCAGAAAGCCATCATCCCTTCTGCGGCGTCTGAGCGGTAAACGTGCAACAAATGATATCGTACCAGGTAGTTCGAGCCAGAAGCAGACATTTATGCCGAGGTGAGCTCGTACTTCATTGATTGTTCCAAAGTTAGCCAGAGGTCCACACCATCACTGCCCAACGGACCTCATAATTTACGTGCAATATCCCTCGTGTTCAATGGGGAGCTTGAAAACCCAGATCACTGCGTACAATTAGGAAACAGGTTGGGTTTCGGAGGAAAACGGGGTTCTTATGAGTACAACCCCACGTTGAGAACTGGGTATTGTTGGCTATAACCCCTAGGAGGTATGTGTCGTTAGTTTCCGGCGTGACGTCAAGCAAATTTTTCCATGAACCCGTGTGGTACGTTTCAGTGGGGTCATTCGCACTAATCGTCGCGCTACTGTGCCACACGCAGCATGTAGCAAGTGCCGCGCAGTGATCTTGCACAAGTGATCGCTGATATTCAGTACTGTTACGCAAATCATAATGGTTACAGTAACCAGGGCTTACTGTGTTTTTGACGTTTATCGAGCTTGTTATATTCCTTTATTCGATTTAGATCAGTGTCCAGTCAAGATGGAGCGATTCTTGGTGGTCCGCTAACTACCGCTGGTCCCTCATCCTCTACAACATCAACTGCCACCGGTGCAATGTCAGCTACGGGCACGAAATCGGTTTGCCACAAGCGCTTGTCGGATGTCGGTTTGAGGGAGGAAAACCAGTGAGTCAATCTTTCTCTTTGTCAAAATAGTTGTTTTGAGTGAGGTGCTGTTACTTTTGCTTCCTAGTCATTAACATAAATGTAGAATATTTAGACAACGATGTATTTTTCTAGGTCTCCTTTGGTTTCCTCGCGTCCATCGTCTCTGAGAGTCCTTAAACAGCCTCCACCATTAACTTCTGTTGGTTCTGGATCGTCTACTACTGGTGCCAATATGAACGTCGTCAAAATGCCTACATCACCTATACCAGTTAGCCCATTGGCAAGATCGGAACATTCAGATGCGGCACCGATCGTGACGAGGTGAGCCATGCACACCTTATGGGCGGTGCTTCATAACGATGTGTTATCCACGTTTATCTCTTATGTCGGGAATTCAGTTAAAGGACGAATTAACGCTGAAAAAGCAACCCATTTCAAATCAAGTTAGAGATGGTCAGTGATGCACGAAAGAAGAAAAAACTGAGGAAATTGGCCCAGAACCCGAGAAATGGGACCCCTTCCTTGCCCGTTCATTTGCGCATTGATGCCAATCTCATCTTTGTGCCCTCTCCATCACTACGCTCTCTCTGCTATCTCAATTACTGGCACGTATAGACCTGCGGCGAGTGATTAGATGGTCGGTCGGGCGGCGTACACCGGCCAACCGCGCCAAGATTGAGCTATGCTGGAGCGCCGAGGTCAAATCTTTCGCTGCCAATTGCGCGTTGGTCAGCACCCTCAGGAGGTCCGCCTGTATCCCAACTAGGCCATTTCCCCCTTCTTCGACCTTCGTTCTTATCGTGAATTCGTCCTTTAAGGCAAATGGGATTCTCACCACGAAGCCTAATTTGAACTGACTCACCATGCACTCTTCCTAGCATGATTCATTCAGTTAGGTGAAAGGGTAATGAAAGATCCTATCATAAGGTCGACGCTTAAGAACGGGTATGTCTACCTAGTGGAAAGGAAGGCGGACCCCTTAAGATGGATTTGGCGCCAATTCTGCAGCAAAAGACAGGGCCCGCGGACAATCTAGCATGACGTATCCTCGCGACGTTAGCTGCGCAGCATGCTACAGCCGAATTAGCTAACCACTTTGCTACAGATCTCGAGCCGTATAGCATAGAGAACTGTTAGCGTCTTGAGAGCGCACAGCGCCGATCAGAGCTGCTTCAATGCCGGAAACCAGGTGAGCAAAGAAGGGGTACATTTCTCGGGTTCTGGGCCGTTCTCATGGTTTTCTTTATCATACCGGCACCACTGACCATCTCGGCCAAATTTTCATGGGCTGCCTTTTACTCGTAAATTCCGCTATATCACTCACTCAAATATCAGTCGGTCCTCCTCATTCGTTGTATGAATTTAGAGCGGATTCCAATAACTGGAGTATTCGATGGAAGTGGAAGTGTATCTTAAATTGATTGACCTCTACCGAACACTTCCTATTTTTGCTATTTTTCATGATTTCTATTGATGATTTGAACATAATCGGGGCTTCTCCTTTCAGATCACCAAGTCCATCGTCTGGGAATAAGTTCATAGCCAGTGGTCGATCATTTCTACGTATGCTTCATCGTGATGAGAAGCATTAAGAATCCAAAAGTTGAATTGGCAGTTTGGCGTTTTCCGGTGAGATTCGATGCACGCCCGTTACTGATGCACGTGTAGGCGTTCCTCTTCATTCTTTTTCATGTATTCAGATTAATATTGTTAATATAGATGTCCTTCCCTTTTCGGCATACTGTAAGTCGGGTAGTCTGATCACTGTTTTCGCACAATAGAACGCGTACCATATTCTATCTTTGTTTCATATTATTCTTTCTTCAAACGCGTCTTTTCTCATTTTCTGCTATTTCTTAAGTGAAATTTTGAATCTGAAGCGTGTTATTTGCGTTTTTTTTGCATAGCTTTCCTTGTTCTCCTTCATGTAACGCTGAGATCAATCGATTTATCGATCGAGAAGAGTATCTCCGATGTTTGCGTGTTTTTCTCTCATTATGCTGTGTATACTGTACATAACCAGGTCATTTGTGCGTTTTATGCTGCATACTTATTAAATAGCAAACTTCTTTGCTGTTCCCAACTCCGTTATGAATTCTCCTCATTGAAAAATGGGACACAAGTTGCGCTGGGATGTGGGCGGGACTACTCGATGCTAATCACGCTTGTCAAGGGTACGCACCAATGGGAAGTGTGAACAGTGCTGGATGGCCCCGCCCAATCGCTCAGAGCAGCTTATGCCCTCAACCCTTGTCGGTAAGCTTACCATAGGTTCCAAATGATGCCCTGAAAAGAGCTAAAAGGCTGCCCTGAACCACGTAAGCACCGCATTGAACGTATTGTAGGAAGATCCATCAGCACCGCAATGCGCCAACGATTATTGTTCATCTTCTATTCGCATCTAATCGCGGGTGTTAAATTTATGTGTATTCATGTTGTTTTTTGTAAAGCTCTCAGTATATGTGTGTGAGTGTACTGTCGATTCGTTTGAATCTCTTCGCTGATCCCCAGTTTCCCGATTTTCTTCCTTCACGCGTTATAAGTCGACTTCTATTTCTTCTATTATTGTTCGAAGAAATGCTGTTCGCTATTTGATATTTGATTCGCTTCCAAAGACTAACCCTGTTTGATAAAGATTCGTGTGAAATTTGTCGTGTTTTGTTTGGAGCTGATAATGCGTCACACATCTCTCACTTATCAAAATAGTTAAAGGCAATGTTCGGGCTCAGACCCACCTAAGAAGCTCTTACCATGGCTAGAAGTGCAGTGCAAAGGTAGCGCCACCTTCTATATCGAAACGCGTCACTAACAAGGAGGGTCTTTCAGGACATGGAGCGTTTTTTCAAAATGGTTTTCTGTTGTTGTAGAGGCTCATGTGAGGAACACAGAACCATGGTCCATTTTTCCTGAACGCCCCCAGGAATGTCAAAACAGCGGGAAGAAATGGTCCAAAGTTCGATCCTCCGTGATGACAAATTTTTGCAATTTATGTTGGCGCCTCCAAATTGCCGCAAAACACGACAATGACATCTATTCTCGACGATGGCGCCATTTGGCGGCAATCTGGGGCGCCAAACTATATTGCAAAAATTAGTCATCACCGGGGATCGAACTCTGGACCATTTCTTCACCACTGTTTTGACATTCCTGGAGGCGTTCAGGAAAAATGGATCATGGTTCTGTGTTCCTCGCATGAGCCTCTACAACATGCAGGAAACCATTTCGAAAAAGCGCTCCATGTCCTGAAAGACCCTCCTTGTTAGTGACGCGTTTCGATGTAGAGAAGGTGGCGCTACCTTTGCACTGCACTTCTAGCCATGGTAAGAGCTTCTTAGGTGGGTCTGAGCCCGAACATTGCCTTTAACTATTGTTGATAAGTGAGAGATGTGTGACGCATTATCAGCTCCAAACAAAACAC